GGAAATTGGGAGGAGGACGGACACCCGGGAGGGGGCTGGCAGACAGAGTCCAGGGAGGTGACGATGGAGGGAGGAGCCAAGGAGGAAACGGGAGGAGCCAGGGTGGATCAGACAGAGGAAGGATCCAGGGAGATGACAGGAGGAAATTGGAGCATGCGGCGCCAGGTGGGACCCCGGCCACAGCCATGGAGCCGATGAGCCAGGGCGACGGGGAGGATCCGGAGGACCAAGGCGGAGCAGATGGCTCCGGCGACCGAGGCGGGGATCCAGAAGGCCGTGGTGGAGCTGGAGCGACAGAGGACTGAGGAGGAGCCGAAGGGATGGAGGACCAAGGCAGAGCCAGAGGGACGAGGGAGCCCGGTGGAGCCAGTGGACTGATGGGCCATGGCGGAGAGGATGGAGCTAGGAGCCATGGTGAAGCCGCTGGGTCGACGGGCCGAGGCGGAGTCTGGGACTCAGAGGCTGGAGGCAGAGGCAAGGGATTCTCCAGCCATGGTGACGATGGAGGATGGCAGACCTGCGGAGCTCGCACCACACTGATGGTGGGCTGAGGGCGAGCAGAGGTGCTGCCAGACGACAGTGGTGGAGGAGGGAGGAGTGAGTGGGTGGGTGGGTAGGTTTATTTGTGAGCCTCCGAGCTCTCCGGGCTTAACTTAGGAACAGGAGCCCTCTCTGGGCTGGACGTGGAAACAGGAACGGGAGGGACAGAGGTCACCAACGGAGGAGGGAGGAAAGGGGGCAGGTCGGTATACAAATAAATTAAGTCTATTTCCACTTTTCCTTTACCCAGATCCTTAGACAGCTCACCCTCAGCCACGGTGCAGGGGGCGGAGCTCCTCTCCGCGCTCTCTCTGTCCATGACGCCCTCCCCCGTGGCGAGCTCTGTAGCCGGCTCTCGCACCTGGTCTGACGTCACAGGCTCGGGCTCCGGTGCGATCCTCAGCACTGTCGCTCTCTCTGGCGATGGCTCGTCGGTCGCCGTGGGCGATGGCTCTCCGTCAGCAATGAGCTCGGCTTAAGCTCCGCGCAGCGGGGTGATGGTGGGCTGGGCTCTGGGTCTGGCTGTGTTCTGGATCGGGGGTAGACGCTCTCCAGACTCCGGATGATAGCCTCAGTCCGGTGGTGTCTGGGAGGTCGACGGGGCGGTAGTAATTGGCCCCGATCCAGAACAGGGAGTTCAGCGCAGCGTCGTCGAACGCTGTTAAAACGGCGAGCTGGCTGAACTCCACAGCATACTCCAAAAGGGAAAGTTCCTTGTGGGCGAGGGAAGTAAACCTGACAGCGAGGGAATCCATGGGGAAGGAAACACTACGGAAACAAAAAACACTGAATGGAAAACAGAAAACAAACGGAGGGGAAAACACGCAGAATTAACTGTTCTAGGTCGGGTCTTCTGTCACGTAACGCTGCGGGAAGGAACGATGGAGACGTAAAATAGCAAACACAGTCTTTTATTATATCCAAACAGGGGTAACTCCACACCAGGAAGGGAAGATGACACACGTTCACAACATGTAGACCCGACAAACACAGACTGAATAGACTGGGGCTTAAATACACAGGATAATGATGGAATTGGGAGGAACACAGGTGAACAGAGTGACTAATTAAGAAACAACGAGGACAGGAACAGGAACGACCAAATAAGGGCACATGAGGGAGAAACTGGGTCACGGGGCGCACATGGGGAGCAAAACACAACAAAGACAGTCCAATTCTGACATGTATACACAGTACACTCTTCTTTACATTTTTTTTTTAATAAACACTTTACATTCTGCAGAGAACCCTCTCATTAAGAACCATTTTAGCTGTAGGGTTCTTGGGTTGCTCTTTTGAAGATAAAATGTTTGTTTATGTTACATAAGGTCATTTGCATTAGTATATCAGTATACCAATTTTTCTAAAATCTACACATCAAAAAGTTCATTGTGCAACTCAACAGGGTTCAAACTCTTTGATTGTAAGGACTCAAAATATGGTGATAGCTTTGTGAGGGAACTCATTTCTAAAGTATAAAGGCTGCTGTTTATTTTCATGTATAAAATCACATTTATATTGTGAAATAGAAAAATAGATAAGATGATATTATGAAGACAACATGCTGCTTGGTAAATTAAGTAATTGTTTTTTTTTTTATATTGACATTGAACTAAAGCAAATTTGTTAAATTATTATTTGGAAAATATTGACTTTGTATTAAGTACACAACATATTTAGTTTTTCTGTCCACTCTTAAGAGTAATGTTAGATGTAGAAACCTGCAAAAAAAAAAAAAAGTATTAGTATGGCACTATTCACAAGAAATATTATTCCGAAGTATTTTTACAGAAATATTGCCCTACAACCCCCAGTGAGCAGCTTTAGGTGACAGTGATGAGGAAAAACTCTGCAGATGATACACAAATCTGTCAGCACCCCCTTGTGTCACGATTCGCTGTGGGAGGAACGATGGAGACGCGGAGAAACGTTCAACAGTCTTTAATACTTGAATCACAGGGGATAATCCACAACAGGAACACGGGAAACACACGACATCCAACAAGTAGACCCGACAAAACCAAACTGAACAGACTGGGGCTTATAAACACAGGGCAATCAGGGGAACACAGGTGCATGGAATCATAAAGTAATCAAACTAAACAAGAACAGGAAAAAGACCATAAAAGGAAACACAGAAAGAACTACGGAGGCAAAACAGGTCCAAAAGTCTAACACCTTGCTATAAACTATTTATTTTACAATCTGAAATAAAGTGTACATATTTTTCTTGTATTGAATTGTGTTCACATTGTGTGCACACTACACATGATTTAATGAGAATACTTGTGCAAACTGTCACATGTTCAAATAGGCTTGACACACGTATGTTTAAAGGAGGCTTTTGTACATGGTAATGGTTCCAAATATTATTAAGCTGCCCACAATTAATTAACACATTAATTATTTTATTGATTAAATGGAATGTGCAAACCTTTATGTAAAAATAAAATGTATTTTAAGTGACCACATTATACTCATTTACAAGTTCTTAATTTTATTTTTGGGCTCTGCTTGAATACATTTACATGATTTAAAGTTTAAAAACATTATTTTTCTCATACTGTACATTGCCACAGCATCTCTCTTTACCCTTTGTCTGAAACGCTCTGTTTTAGTTCCTGTTACTTTAAAGCCTGCTTTTTAAAAAAAATCTGCTCTAATTGGTCAGTTGTCCCAGTCTGTTGTGATTGGGCAATCGCTCAGAGTGTGTGTCAGAAATGTAACATCCCATCGGGTTTGCTATATCTCCTCGACATAGAGAAATCACTTATCCAACTGTTCTTTGAGGGCGGGCCAAAGCAGCCAGCAGGCGGGCATTATGCAAATGTGTAACATGGTGACACTGCTAAGTCACAGAAATAATGGCACAACTACAAACAAGTTTCTTTTGGAGAGAAAGTGTGTTCTGCTTGAGAGATTAACTCGCTTTGGCATGGACTTTGTGCTTTGTAACTTCGCAGATCATTTACATGCACAAACAGCTACAGATTTTACACACTGAAGGAAAATCAAAAAAGCATAATAGGCAGGGGTGCACATAAGTTTTTCGGTCTGGTTCTCATGAGAGCACCTAGAGATTTGGTTTGGTGCTCACACTGCACACAGTGTGACCCATTAAATATAACTCTCAAAAATAAAATGAATAATAGTAAAAATAATATAATTGTGCTTTATTTAATTAGGTTATTTTAAAAATAACAAAATAATCAAGTGTGATAATGCTATTATATTTTAAAATAAAAATTAGTATTAAATAAAAATGCCTAGTTCTTTCATGAAACGCTAGATGGCACAGTCTGATGGGTCTTAACGTAACTGATGATATTCACAGCGTTAAAGGCAGAGTAAGCGATTTCTGGTAGCCAATGTTGATATTTGAAATCACCAAAACAAACACGCCCCTACCCCAAAAGGGTTTTGCCCCTATTTTGATAGCTCCGCCCAAAAGGGTCTTGCCCCTATTTTGATAGCTCCGCCAACGATTAGTTCTGTGAAACAAAGCAAAACCAATGTTACACCATGTCTACGGACGTGAGCGGCGCGGCACAACAAATCCCCGACAGAAAACTGCTGCCGGGTTCTATTTATGACCTTTCAGAGTTCCTCTGAAACCCTCCACCTTCCCCAGCTCCACCTGTATAGATCTGCTACAGGTTATTTTACATGCTATTTGTGCAGCAGCAGTATATCTTAAATACTCACAGCACCGTATCGCTGTATGCATTGGCAGTAGCAAGTTCCTGTACTTGCTTGCAGCAGCAACAGCAGCAGCATTAATCTACAACTACAGCAATAACCAACAGCAGCAGCAATTCAGCAGCGTAGCAGATATATTCCACCAAGGCTAAATACATTAACATGGTCATATCCATTACCTAAAATCGTCCGAGAGTTGTCATGATAGAAATACAAGTGTTTATAGTACACTTAAAAAATACAATGATAATATATATTTTTCTTTTTGACTCTTTTCTTTCTTTCTTTCTTTCTTTTATATGAATTTTCAACATTTTCAAACCTAAAACCAGAAAGCTTTTATTTTTGGCTTTTTTATTTTAATACTGCTGAGCTGACTGAAGCATGTCAGTGAATGAAATGTGATGTCACAGTTTTACATTTTGCGCTGAAACTGGCAGCGAGTAGCTTACATTTACGCTTCCAGTTCGACTGGAAATCATATACTGTTGTGAAAAGTCAGAAGCGTGTGGATCCATTTGCAGCTTTTATTAGAATAGTCAGACAATACTGGGTCAATACCGGCAAGGGAGAACAGCAGAGACAAGGCTGAGACAGAGTCGGGTACCAGGCGAGGAATCGGGGCAGGCGGCAAGCAAACAGAGTCCAGGTGAAACAATCCAAGTCGGGGCAGGCAGATAACAATCAGAGTAACGGGAAACAGTCCAAGAACAGATGCACAGAAAATCAAACACGGGTAAACGCTCGGAAATGACAGCCAGGGCAAATCAAGACTTCGCAGAGAGTCAGCGTGTGTGAGTGGTTTATATGTGTGTGTGTATATGAGGTGCAGGTGTGGATGATTAATCAGTCCCAGGCATGAGGGGTGATGGGATTTGGAGTCCGAATGGGAAATGGCTAATATTCGGGAGACGGTTCCCTCTGGTGGTGCGGAGGAGGCGGTACGGGAGCCTCCTCTGTAACATATACAGTATTACAGTTAGTCGATCTAAAACGGTAATTGTGCATTAACAGCCATCAAACATGTCAGTGTGAAAATGAGCAATCCCGACTTATTTACCACACGCATTTTTTATTTTGGTATGCGCACCTGCGCTCCGCTTATGTGCACCCCTGGTAATAGGTTTTTTGTGTTTTTTCCCCGTGCATTTTGTCAGTTTTTTCACCATTGCATAATTTAAATAGCCAAACTGAGCTTTTTACTGTTTTGTCTTGCTTTTCAAAGAAAAAAATCAATTAAAAAACAACAATTTAAAAATATTTATTTAACACTGAACATTTTTTAACATTCAGACATTATACCAACAAAGCACAATTTAACTTAAAATTAATAAGTTAGTAAAATAATATTTTTTTCGCCATTTTTGAGACCCCCTTCTTGAATCAGGCATGTCTTTTTTACTGTACAAATAAATGCAGCCTTGTTGAGCATAAGAGACTTTTTTTAAAACATTAGAAAATAACACTATGTGTGAACGTTATAATAAATGTATTAATAGAGCTGTTGTAATCATTATTATTGTCTTACTTTGCATTATTGTCTTACATTGTTATTGTCTTTCTGTATTCATAGAGCTGTTGTAATCATTATCATTGTCTTACCTTTTTATTTTATTTTACAGAACAACAGTAAAATTACAATACTAACATTTATGATTGTTGATGGCGTTCTTGCTTTTATTTAGGCGGAAATCCGCAGGAAGTCCTCAGTGCTTCTTTTTGTTGACAACAGAAGATTTATAAATAATTCTCATTATGAATTTGGAAAGGTGCTTGTCGCACGTATCACATTACTGAGCAACTGACAAGTAACACTGTCGTAGCGCAGATTTTCCTTTCGCTTTGGACTTTGAACCCTGGCGCCGCGAGCTCGTGCAGCGCTGTTTGAATACATGCAAATTCTATATGTATTAGAAAACATGATGTTCTGCAGTTTATTTAATAATTGTTTAAGGCCATTTCGCATTTCAATCATCATACAGTAACCAGCAACAACCACCCCTTCCTCTTCTCATCAGAAACATGCGAAACATGCGCAGTAGGTCCCACTTTATATTAGGTGGCCTTAACTACTATGTACTTACATTTAAATTAACCATTTGATTCAATGCACTTATTGTGTACTGTACATACATGTTTTTACATTGTACTTATATTTAAAAAAATACCTGCATGTATTACATCTGTAATTAAAGGGTTAGTTCACCCAAAAATGAAAATCAGGCTGTGTTTTACTCTCCCCTGAGGCATCCTAGGTGTATATGACTTTCTTCTTTCAGACGAATCCAGTCGGAGTTATATTAAAAATTGTCCTGGCTATTCCAAGCTCTATCATTGCTGTCAGCGGGTGCTTCAGTCCAAAAGAAGTGAAATGAAAAGCGCCCATTCATAAAAAAAAGTGTCTCACACGGCTGAACAAAGGCCTCCTGTAGCGAATCGATGCGTTTTGTAAGAAAAATATTTAAAACGTAATAATCAATTTAATTTAGCTTGCGCTCACTGTTGTACACGGAAGCAGGTCCGGGCGAATGACGGGTTTTCCTTTGCTAAAGTAAGGAAACTTTGCTTCCTTTGCTCCTATAAACAAACTCGCGAGACTAGCATATCTCAGGCTGCGCATACGTCATACGCCTACCGCAGGAGTCCGCTAGTGATCCGTGACTGTTTACGACGAACACAACATTTATCCATTATTTTGATTTCAAATTTAAACATTGTCACTGAAAATGCTTTTTCAGGATTGCAATTCTTTTTTTACACAGTGCAGTGATCTTTCACAGACACGTTTAAACACAATAAATATAAGCAACACATTATTCAATGCTTTTTACTTTTGCATTTACTTCTAGATTTATGTATTAAGTTGCTCAAGCAAGTGGCAAAACATTTAAACTACTTTTCTTACGTTATCACAAACTTACCATTGACAGAAATAGTCAGCTCTACTGCCTTTCCTTTTGCATTGAAATCTTTATTACAAGCAATCTTGCTGTTCATAAAGAACTTTGTTTTCCTACCTCCACAAGTGCCATCTATTATTACCTTGTTTATCTAAAAGTGCTCTTTCCCTTTAAACCTAGCCAAAAAGCCATATGTGTTGATTGTGAAACACAGTAGACTTTAATAATATGCATCTATGCTGTAATTACTACATTTTCGTGTCAATCCATGTTCATATGTACTGCAAACAATGCGGTGTTACTTTAATTCAGTGCTTGCAGCGCAGCAATAGACTCGGTGCGGAAACGATCTCTGCACTTCTGCAGACGCACCGCTCCTGAACGCACTGCCGGACCGCAACCGTGTGCCGTGACCCTGCCAGATTATGCATCATTTGGCAGGATGCAAATTTTGGCACTACACCGGACGCAACCGTGTGCATTAAACACTGGCAAGAATTAAAAAGAAATGCAATTTATAAACTTTAGTGAGGATGTGACACTGCCTCGACTGTGCAAGTGACAATTCCTGTGTCAACTGTGCAGCGTGCAGCTCGCTTATAGATAGAGGCGATGTGGTGATTTGAAGCCATTTGCTTATTTTGAGAGCGAAAGAGAGAGAGAGTGCGCGCGGTGATTCACTCTCGCTGTTTGTGAAATTACGTCTCACACAAGGTTTTCAAATTACTTTATAAGTTATTTAATGAAAAAATATGAAGGTGAGTACCTCACCTTCAGCATTATAATTATTTCACCAGCGCCGGACAGAGACTGAGACGGTGTCGCTGCATGTCACGCCAAACCTCTCACGGCAGCATCATCAGCTTGAGATCATTTTTTTAAGATCGGCCTTTTAGAGACCGCCGATCAATCATCCCAACGTGATTATCGGCCGATAGTGATCGGTAGCCGATCAATCGGAGCACCCTTAATTTTTAATATAACTCCAACTGGATTCGCCTGAAAGAAGAAAGAAAGTCATATACACCTAGGATGCCTCGGGTGTGAGTAAAACACTGCCTAATTTTCATTTTTGGGTGAACTAACCCTTTAATTTCTGTAATTACATTAATAATGACACTGTTGACCCATCCCTTACACCCTTAAACCGACCCATACCACCAAACCTGTCCCTAACCTTACCTGTATCCCACCTCAATAGCAGCAGAAGTGTTTTGCAATACAATATGAACACAATAAGTACATTGTACTTATTTTTTTGATGCAAGTACATAGTAGTTAAGGCCACTTAATATAAAGTGGGACCGCCTAACAGTCTTTCACTGTCGGTGCTTGTAATTATTTTTGCATCTTTCTCGGACAGTTTTAAATGCTTCCACACTACCGACATGTTTGCTGCATTATAAAGAGTGCACGCTTCTCACTCTACACTGGTTGCTCATGTCACGTCATTGTTCGTTACTATTTATTCTGTCTTTTCGCTTGGTCTTATGCTATTTTCAGCATAATAATTTGGGTTGCCGAACATTCTGTGCATCCATAATATTTATATTGAAGATCTACCATGTCCCAGAGCGTTTCCAGAAGCTTTTGCAGCGCTACTATGACAACTTCAACATGCGCTTCACCTGTGGAGATTTTACCACCGAATGGCAGAGGCTAGAGGTGGGCATTGTCACTAGCTGCATGATTTCAGTGATCTTGTTTTCAGCAGCGATGAACCTTCTCGTAAAGTCAGCAGAGAAGTTGCAGCGGGGTGCAGTGTTGACTAGTGGCATCCAGCAGGTACCCATAAGAGCATTTATGGATGACCTCACCATCATGGCAAAATCAGTACCTGAAGGCAGATGGATTTTGGAGGTTCTGGTGGAACTCACCGATTGGGCAAGGATAGAGTTTAAACCTAAAAAGTCCAGAAGCCTGGTATTGGGGAAGGGGCACATTCAGGACCGGTTCCGCTTCAGGTATAGGACAGACCTCAACGATAAGCAGAGTGTGAGGGAGATGATTATCCAAGCAGAAACCTGGATGACATCCTTAGAGAAGAGTGGCCTACCCGGCAAATATAAGGCCTGGGGGTACCAACATGGGGTACTTCCTAGACTGCTCTGGCCTCTGCTTGTTTATGAGGTACCTGTCTCGACTGTAGAGAGACTGGAGAGAAAGATGAACACCTATTTAAGGAGGTGGCTGGGTGTCCCAAGAAGTTTTTGCTCCATTGGCCTGTACAGCACAGGCAGCAAGCTGCAGCTGCCGGTGACATCAGTGCTCGAGGAGTATAAGGCAGCAAAGACACGCCAGGCCATGATGCTGCGAGACAGCAAGGATGAAAGAGTACGCCAGGCAGGCATTGTGGTCAGGACAGGCCGTAAATGGTCAGCCAGCAGAGCATTGACGGAGGCTGAGGATCGGCTGCAGCATGCGGACATTGTTGGGACAGTAGCCCAGGGCAGGCTTGGACTGGGTTGTTTCACCAGAACGAGTTGGAACAAAGCTGACCCAAAGGAACGCCGCAGCATGGTACAGAGGGAGGTCCGCAAGGCAGAGGAGGAAATTCGACATGTTAAGGCTGTAGCCATGAAAAAACAGGGCAGCTGGACAAGGTGGGAGGGCGTACGAGAAAGGGCCCTGACGTGGCAGGACATTTGGATCATGGAAGGACGCCGGATAAAGTTCTTGATGTGTTCTGTCTACGATGTGCTGCCTACTCCATCAAACCTCCATATTTGGGGGATGGCAGAGAGTCCCAGCTGCACATTGTGTGGAAAGCAAGCCAACCTTGAGCATGTCCTCTCAGCATGTCAGTCAAGTCTGGCAGATGGGAAATGCCGGTGGCGTCATGATAAGATCCTGTCTCAGTTGGCAGATGGTGTGGAACAGGCAAGGAAGAAGGTTAAACTTTCCAGCGGGCACCACTTTATTCAGTTTGTCAGGACAGGAGAGAGCACTGCAGCAGGATGGAGGAGTAGAGGGGTCTTGGCCTCAGCAATGACTGGGAGATGCGGACAGATCTGAAGAAGCGGCTAAAATTCCCAGAGGAGATAACACACACCAGCCTCAGACCGGATATTGTCCTCTGGCCTAGAGGCACTAAGCTGGTGGTGCTTATAGAGTTAACAGTACCCTGGGAAGAAAGGATGGAGGAGAACGCCGCAGCATGGTACAGAGGGAGGTCCGCAAGGCAGAGGAGGAAATTCGACATGTTAAGGCTGTAGCCATGAAAAAACAGGGCAGCTGGACAAGGTGGGAGGGCGTACGAGAAAGGGCCCTGACGTGGCAGGACATTTGGATCATGGAAGGACGCCGGATAAAGTTCTTGATGTGTTCTGTCTACGATGTGCTGCCTACTCCATCAAACCTCCATATTTGGGGGATGGCAGAGAGTCCCAGCTGCACATTGTGTGGAAAGCAAGCCAACCTTGAGCATGTCCTCTCAGCATGTCAGTCAAGTCTGGCAGATGGGAAATTCCGGTGGCGTCATGATAAGATCCTGTCTCAGTTGGCAGATGGTGTGGAACAGGCAAGGAAGAAGGTTAAACTTTCCAGCGGGCACCACTTTATTCAGTTTGTCAGGACAGGAGAGAGCACTGCAGCAGGACGGAGGAGTAGAGGGGTCTTGGCCTCAGCAAATGACTGGGAGATGCGGACAGATCTGAAGAAGCGGCTAAAATTCCCAGAGGAGATAGCACACACCAGCCTCAGACCGGATATTGTCCTCTGGTCTAGAGGCACTAAGCAGGTGGTGCTTATAGAGTTAACAGTACCCTGGGAAGAAAGGATGGAGGAGGCTCATGAGCGTAAGCGCAAGAAATATCAAGACCTTATCCTTGAAAGCCAGCAAAATGGATGGAAGGCCTGGAATTTACCAGTAGAGGTTGGCTGCAGAGGTTTTGCTGGGCAGTCACTCTGGAGAACCCTTGGGCTGCTGGTTATTGAAGGGATGGCCAGGAAACAGCTGATAGGCAAGGTTACCGAACAGGCTGAAACAGCATCTCAGTGGATCTGGATACAGCGGGAGGTGAGGTGGCAGAGCCAACCTATTGAAGGGCGAACAACGACATAGAGTTTGTGGTGGTCAGCAGGGGTAGATCCAGGACGCTGGATCTGCTGTCGAGCCTTCCCGAGGTGTCATGGGCTTAAATCGGTGAAACACCAATGAAGGGGGGTGCCCATCTGACGACTAGCTGTAACTACCAACTCTTTGACCTGGTGCTTGAAAGGAAGAGAGAAGGAGAGGAGAAGTGATGCCACTGGCTCACAGTTGGTGCAGGGCTAAGTACCTGTAAAGGTGGGCCAGTTGCGATGGCCTCATCGTATTTTGCATATATGTATATTATATCATCATACTTGAACCCCTGAGCACCAACTGTGTTAAGTGTAAGAAAAAAAGATTTGGGAATGAAATACTTTAACCAGGTTTAAAACTACTTCACAGGCCTTAAGTGATAGTTCATCTAAAAATGGAAATTCTGTCATCATTTTCTCACTCTCATGTTGTTCTAAACCTGTATGACTTTCTTACTTTTGTAGAACACTATCTGTTGAAGAACACTGGCAACCAATCAACGCTGACTTCGATTGCATGAGATATTTCTCAAGTAAATAAGTCATATAGTTTCGGAACTCACGGTGAGTAAATTATGACCGAACTTTCATTTTAGGGTGAACTATCCTTGTAAATCAACAGCGCTGCTGTATACACTGTATTTTTTATTTGTTTTAATGTTATATTGGCATTCTTGAGTCTGTGGGTTTGAGTTCCCGTAGGATCGAGGTATAACACAGAAACAGAGCCAACTCGATGTTCTTCAGATTTCATTGCCGCGTTCAGTCTCTCAATAATGTTTCCTGGAATCATTCACTGCCTGCATTTGGATGTATTTTATTCTCGGCTTTCTTCTCAGTATCGGCTACCTGGGTCTGCAGGTGGCTCAGGATAGCGGTCCTCAGCTGGGGCCTGAAGCGTGGAGCTCGCTCAGACACTGGTTGTTTATTGTTTATCGTCTCTCACCAGAGACTAACAAACAAAGAAGCATCAGATCCTTTCTGTGACCCTTCCCTGCTGTTCCCACAGAGTATCACTACCCTGCTTTTATTTGCTTCCAGCTGATTTACACAGGATGAGTAAACACACAATCACACACCGTAACACATCTCGAGTGCGCCACACACATACGCTTCCTGTAAGTTGAATTGGCTGCATATACTTATATAAATATTCTCCGGTGAGGGAGAGCGAGAGTTGAAACGGTCTGCTGGGGAAAGAAGGTTCGTTCTTGGCTTTCTGAGATGGGTAAAGGCTGATAGATTTTTCTGCACTATGAGGTCTGTGTTATTTTTGTTGCCGGTTTGGACGCGTGGCAAACAAAGAGATGTTTGCACGATGCTACTCTTACTCCTTTTATAGTGTTATATTGGCACAGGCTTTGGAAGAGCCCTCTTGTGTGTTGGTTTGCACATCGGTAACCGTTTCATGTATGTGTGCGTGCATTTAAAGTGCTTTTCATGTGCTGTTTAGTTGGTTACCATGGCTGTCCGAGTTAAGTAATCAAACACAACAGTATGATCTCTCACTTTTATTCAATAACCCTGCAGTTATATATAGACTCCTCCATCTCTACCCACTCTTCCACCCTCCTGCTCTCTCTATCTCTCCACACTAACTCGCTCTTCTCTCTTTCTATCACACGTTCATCCGCTTTCATTCGCATTCTCCTTCCTGGATGTGATTTACACTCTCTTATTCCCGCCTGTCACTTAATTACTCGGTTAACCAGTGGCACAGCACCCAATTTGTCCTCCTGCTTACTCTTTTCTGTCTCTCCCGAAGCTTCGCAAGCTCTCATTTTCCTCTCGCTGTATGTAATCCTCTGCATTGTGTGTGTATACGCTGTCAGGTGATGAGTATTGATTGTATACTTGGCTGTAAGGCCGTGTGATTAAACGCAATGAATGGGAGGAGAGGGGCCCACGATAAATCACCTGTATGCCACCTTGTGTGTTTGATTAAAAGGGTCTTGAATCTAGTCCTGTCTACAGAGCTTTATATCCAGGGGTTTTTTAAAGGGGTCATCAGATTTCCCTGGATATTTTTAGATAAAACAGATGGATGCGCTTTGAAAACATACTGTAAGTTTAGGAGCTCAAAATGTCCTCTCCAGTGCATCATTTTATTTATTGATTTATTTATTTAAAAGCATTTTGTTTAACATTTGTAACATATTTAATATTTTTTAAACAAATGCCCATATGGATGGCCATATGGATGACTAAGTGTGCTAAAAATAAATTAAGGAATAAATGAACAGTTTATTAATTGGACAATCTGTACCTTCGAGTGGCACATACTTGAGCTGGAAGTTTATTTTGATGTTTATTCCCATCTTCTCAAGTTTTAATTCAATTTTAATTTTTAATTAAGCTGATCATTTATTCCCTCATTTTAATTTGGCATTAGTCTTCTATGTCTAGTCATGATGATATTAAAGTGGAATAAAAAGACTAACAATATAAGAGCAAAATGAGAGAAAGTTTTCCAAAACCACCTGTTCCTGTTTGCGTGTAGCACCTACTGCTCTGCAGATCCTCCTAAAGGAACCAAACCTTAGAAATGAGCAGCTTCATGTTTATTTTTTAACAAGATCCCTGATCATTTCAGTTTGATCTTAACATTCTGTGCGGCACATTTCAGGTAGATTTTAGACAGTGAAAGGTTCACTTAACAATGTAATACAGCGTTTCACAGAGGCTGTTATTGATGGATGGGGCGGTCAGAAACTATATTTGACAACAGCAAACCTGCAAGCCAGTGTGTGAGGACTGGAGCACAGCACCACTCAGTGCTGTTACTCATTTCTCAAGTGAAGGGGGCATTTCTTAAAGTCACAATCGCAAAATATGGAGTTTTTCATTCTTAGGGCCAGATAGATAAAATCTGGCCCTAAGATATTACCCTAAAACCCTAAAATATGACTGTTTTTGACATACAAAAAAAAATATTATTTGTAGACCTCAAAAAAAAAAAGAGGTAATAAAAAGCATAAAATTGTGAAATTTGTATGTTAATAGTTTCTGTGATCATCCTCTGATCTGTTATGAATGGTGGAAACTTATTTTGGAAGGCAACACACAAACCCACACATACACACATGCATTATGCATGTGTTCAAACCCTTAGTCCCGACTCACTGAGCCACATACAAAAGTGGCACAAATGTTTAGTGAATGACTGTAAATTGCATCTTCTTTTACATGCAACATAAATAGCATCTGTCTTATTTTACACTTGTTCACAGTCACTGCCTTATTGAATTCATAGTCTCTTAAGGGACCTTCGGTAGAGTAATATGGAATAAGACCGCAACATCATATATCAATGCGAGTCAGGAGCACAAACAATAATCTCAATGGGAAAGAACCCTGTAATCATATTCTGTTTTATGCCAAGTGAAAAGATCAAAATTCACTGTGTTCCATTTCCATACTGATGAACTTCAAAGGTAAGAGACAAGGAGAAGATGAAAAACCAACATTAACTTTCTGAAATATCAGATGCATTCTCTCTCTTTTTCTTCCCATCTTACCCTGTTGCCACGGCAGCATAATCTGACTATGAGAGAAAGGGACGGATAGAGCTAATGTCATCTGACTCATTTAATGTTGGTGTCAATATGTGTGTGAGCGTGTGTGTGATAGAGAGAGCAGGAGAGACAGAATGAATGTCACAACGTATCATAGAAACCATTGGTTGAGCTGCGACCTAACTTCATCTTCAACAAGCAATAAGTGGCCTTTTCTCTAAAGCCTAATGTTTAATGAAGAGTTCATATGAATTAATATTTCTGGTGATTGTAAAGGTTGAGTGTAATCCATTGAAACACACTGACAGTTACTGCTCTAACATACTGACAGACACATCATGCACTTATTTTTGATATGTATTTGAGGTGGCACTGGTGGCAGTTCTGGCTCACTTGGTGCCATAGGCAAGATAAGACATAACCAAAGTAAGTAGTTAAGTTATAATCCAGCCCTAACAGTTTTTCTTAAACATACAAAAATACAACTGTGCTTGACAGTCAGTGGTTCATTTTTAATTAATAAATTGGAATTGAAATTGTCCACATCCCACATGAAGTTGAATTGGAATTAAAGGAAGTGTAATTTACAGTTCAGATTAATTCAACAATTAATGACGTTCTGGTGAATGAAGTGTTCGTCCACCCAGCGAAACGTTAGTGACATTTCAAACATCTCTGTTAGTTTTTGTTTGTTCGTAAGGCCTGTAACTTCAGATTTCAAGACTTTTTAAAGTTCTTTAAATTTTAAGACAAAACCATTATTCAAAGTTGACTTGAGTGCAAGAGAATTAAAATCTCCAAAAGCATCCCACTTTACCAATATACACCTATTGAGGTTATATGGATGTTTTTGAATTTCAGTTCGTTTTAATTGTACTTCCTTAAATTTGAATTTCAGTTCTGTATCTGTTCTGTACCACCATTCAAATTCAAACTGAATTAAAAAAAAAACATTCTCTATTTATGTCTGAATGTTGCACAACCACATCATTATATTCCATGAGAAAAAGTTTGAAAGTTAAACGTTTCAAATGACAAGAGTGTGGGTAGCTGATGACAGCACTTTCAGTTTGAAGCTAATGAAGTGTGACCACATTTAGACATGTGAATGGATGATTTATGCCACACTAATTTAGACAAACAATTTTTTCACCTACAACAAAAATCCCTTTTTTTGTTAAAAGTTGCATTTAAAATCCACATGGCTCTACCACGGCAAGCATCCACTTGGTTTGAATGGATATGTGCTCTTTAAATCCTACAGTATGTGTTTGTTTTGTAATGAAGTGTGCATATTCATCACCAGATTTGCTAACATTGTTTAGTAATCTGCAGGCTTGGAAGCGCAGTTGTGTTTGCGTCCGTGTCCTTTATCATTACGCTATGCTTTACACGTGTTCACAGCGGTCTGCACCTTGCACACCCATATAAATTCAGGAGCCTGAAAGTGCCGTGGCTCCCGAGAGCATCTACAGACGTCATG